CCCTCTCTGCTGGCCTGCCTCCATAGACAAGGCAAAAACTAGCGCAAAGCTGTGATTTCTGATTCCGCGCCACGCTGGCCAGACAGCTGGAAACCCGAGCCTCTGCGCCAACGCCCGCGAGCACACAAAAGCGGAATCAGAAGCATTGGGAACCATACCGAGACTTTACGTTCAAAACGGAATAATTTTCGCGCTTTTAAGGTGCTAGCAAGCGCGATAATCGACTCCCTTTTGCCTAGGTCTAGACAGTTACTCGGCGCTTCGAAGTACGCGTAAAACGTGCCGATTTTTTGACGACTGTGTAGTCGCAGCAAAACCAAGCGCGTTTGAAGTAGATTAGGCGTGTCGCCTAGTTGTCGACACCTAGTCGACAAAGGGGGCCTATTAACGCGCTTGCTTACCCCTTTAAAACGACTGAAGCGAGTCGTTTAGAGATAATTTCCTTCAAAAATTTCTTTTTTACATTTCCTTCCAGTTATTGCTCCGACTTGGTAGAATTAAAGGGACTTAGAAGCGTGAGAATCGACCCTCCAGTGAACGAGATCTATACAGTTACATGAGAGGCCAAAAGACACACCTTGTCGTGATTTTTAGCAAAAAAATGTGAAAAAATTATCGCGTTGCTTGCAGTCATCACATGGCTTATTAAATACGTATCTAGGCGTATCGCGTTGTGGTCGAAACCCAGTGGTTGAATGGGGTAGATTCCATCGCTTCCCGGTCGCTTTAAAACCCGGAAATCGACCTCGATCTCCGCCGCCTTACGTTTTTCACTTTACAAATTCGAGGATCCGCTTCCCCCTCGTGAATTCCGACCAAGCGGAAGCGCCCAAAAATCCAAAATCCCCGGGCGGTCGAGCGGAAAATCGGCACCCTGGTCCCGCCACGCCGGGGGGCTCAATTTAATCCGCCAGGTGCTCGCCGTGGGACCCCCCGGTCATTATCCGGTCGGCCAAGGGGGCGCCTCGCGGAATCCGATTTTCCGCCCCTCGGAATCTTGATTCTGAAAGAGAGGGCTGACTGGATTATCCCACCTTGCTCTAGCCAGCAATTCACAATTCCGGCCACGCCCACTGTTTTTGGGATCAAGTGGCAGTTGAAGGGGAGGTTGAGACGAATCTTCTGGAACTTGTAGCCTCTAGTCCTGCAGCATTTTCTAAAAATCTCTGCTAGCCGGCCCCTTCCATTCCCAAATGATCTCTGCTAGCCTGCCCCTTCCATTCCCAAATGATCTCTGCTAGCCTGCCCCTTCCATTCCCAAATGATCTCTGCTAGCCTGCCCCTTCCATTCCCAAATGATCTCTGCTAGCCTGCCCCTTCCATTCCCAAATGATCTCTGCTAGCCTGCCCCTTCCATTCCCAAATGATCTCTGCTAGCCTGCCCCTTCCATTCCCAAATGATCTCTGCTAGCCTGCCCCTTCCATTCCCAAATGATCTCTGCTAGCCTGCCCCTTCCATTCCCAAATGATCTCTGCTGGCCCGCCTGAAAATCTGGAACAAAAAATCGGTTCTTTTGCGTTATCGGGGGGGATTTGTATTGCTCTAGAAATGCTGAGGAATTTAATAAGGCATTTTTATGAGATTTCAATAAAATAAAACCAGATTCAACTCGAAAAAACATTCAAAAACTTTGACCAAAATTGCCAAAAGTCGCAATTTGGTAAAAAACGGCCGTTTTTGGTCGAGAAATCTATATTTTTTCAAATCTATACTTTTGATAAAGTTTTGGAAAGTTTGTACGTTTAGGAATAGCAAAAGAAACTATTTAGGAATTTTGGAAACAGGTTCCTAAGAAAAAATTTCTCCCCCTTCCCCCCCCCGATAATGCTTAAGAGCCTAAAAAACTTAGACGTAAAAATGTTTGAAGTGTTCGAGGTGAATTTCCTAGGTTTTTCACGGCGGCTTTGGTCAACAATTGGACGTTGGGCCCTGGGGCCCCTCGTGGGCCCCAAGGCCAATTTGTCGCGCCCAATTCCTTCGGGTTGCTTTTTTGCCACCCGGGGGCTCGCAACCTTTTTGAACGCCGCGAAAATGGGCGAGCGAAACGTCAGCACAAAGATTGGAGCTGGGTCTTCTGGCCGTTTTAAAACATTTTTTCTGTTGTTTTTTTTAGTTTTTTAGTTACGCAGTTTTTCTCGAGCTATTTAAATTTATATTTTAAAGAAATTAAGCTAATCAACTTAATCCTTATTTAACATTATAAAAACATTGAAATATTTGAAATTTTGTAAAGAAAAAAGGAGTCTAGAAAAGTTATTAGAAATTTTTCCGGTTTTTTTAGAATGTTTTTGTAACCTTTGGCGATATGTTATTCCTGTGATTTTCTCCCTCAAAGCTACCCACAATTCATTGAATTAATTCGTGAATTCAATTTTGACACCTTTCACAATTTTTTTCATGCCCCAAAGCGTGGGTGGAAACGATAATTCCAAAATTACAGCTTCCCCCGCAATTTTCCATGTCTCCAAACCCGCAATTAAATTTCTCGAAGCTTTTCCTGACATAAAGCCCCCCGAAAATCACATAGCCAATCGTAATTTTTTACAAAATTTTGACTTATTCTTGATTTTCCGGTTGCACCAAAAATCCGCTCATTTTTCGTCGTTCCGGCCGGTTCCGGCTAATTTCCGCACTTGTGACCGGCTGCCCTATAGAATAGGAAAAAGCCGGAAATCTCCCCTCGGTCCCCCGGCTCGGCACTCAACTTCCGCTTTTTACTATGGGGGCGTTGGGCCATTTTTACTGGCTGACCTGGGCAAGGATTACGAAATTTCATGTTTCAGGCAGAGATCAGGTGCCAAACTCAAAAATTTTGCGGGGCAAGCTAGCAGAGATCATTTGGGAATGGAAGGGGCAGGCTAGCAGAGATCATTTGGGAATGGAAGGGGCAGGCTAGCAGAGATCATTTGGGAATGGAAGGGGCAGGCTAGCAGAGATCATTTGGGAATGGAAGGGGCAGGCTAGCAGAGATCATTTGGGAATGGAAGGGGCAGGCTAGCAGAGATCATTTGGGAATGGAAGGGGCAGGCTAGCAGAGATCATTTGGGAATGGAAGGGGCAGGCTAGCAGAGATCATTTGGGAATGGAAGGGGTAGGCTAGCAGAGATCATTTGGGAATGGAAGGGGCAGGCTAGCAGAGATCATTTGGGAATGGAAGGGGCAGGCTAGCAGAGATCATTTGGGAATGGAAGGGGCAGGCTAACAGAGATCATTTGGGAATGGAAGGGGCAGGCTAGCAGAGATCATTTGGGAATGGAAGGGGCAGGCTAGCAGAGATCATTTGGGCAGATCGCTGGCTGATCATGATGTTTTCAAAGCTTTTGCTACGTGACTTTCCGTTCTCGATTTTCCATGAAACAATTTTACTAGGTTTTCAAAGGTCCATCCGGCCTCACCGGTCCGGATTTCCGGCTCAGACCCACCGGGGATGATCAGGTCAAGAGATGATGCTCCTCTCCCTCTTTTTCAAATTTGTTTTGTAGCTCTGCCATTTGGCGATAATCCAAATTTCCGGGGCGTGGCCTGAGTCCTAAGAATTTTGTAAAACCTGGAGCAACCTGACCGAAAATTCTAGGACGTTTGGTGTGTTTTTCAGTTCAGCTGTCTAAACCTAGCCGAGGGAGGAGGTCGATCCTTGCGAGACCTAGTCCCTTTAACAATATGCCCAAGCCAAGCCAAAGCCGGTTCCTCGCCTAAGGCGTAACATATCCCTAAGCTAACAAGGAGTGATTTTTGAGTGTCATGGGCAAATCCATTCGCGACCCAGCTCATTCGATAGAGAATTGAATTCTTAACAACCTCCCGGTGTTCATTTTTGCAAAACGCCTTTCCCTGATTTTATAAAATTACAAAACTGGAATGGATTTTGGCCAGCTGTCGGTTCGCCGCATCATCTTCCAAGATTTAATTTTTCATCTTTTGGAAGTTCGGTTCTTGTAGATGTAATTTGTTTTGCTTTTTGTATTATAAGTGGCTCAGTATTTTTGAACAGGTTGTAATTCCAATTGAGAAGGCTCACACTAACCTGGACCTTAATATTTTTGTTTTGCTGTAATCTTCCCCAATGCGCGCAGAGGAACAACGTTGTAATAAGTATTATTTTAAATCAATTAACCTATCAAAGCGTCCGCAAACGCTTTTATTAACAAAAAGCAAAACAATTTTTCTACCAAGGAACCGAACTTTCCACAAAGATGCAAAAAATTTTTGAAGGCGGAAGCCTTAACCACTACGCGATGACCCATGGTGAGCTGGGGAGTCGAAGAGAGCTCATGTCCTAGGAGCGTTCAGATAGGCTGGCCGCGCCAGACGGGGTACGTCAAATCCAATTTTTAGTTTTTTAATTTTATAAAATCAGGGAGAAACGTTTTGCAAAAATGAACACCGGGAGGTTGTTCAGAATTCAATTCTCTATCGAATGAACTAGGTCGCTAAGGGATTTGCCAATGACACTAAAAAACCACTCCTTGTAAGCCTAAGCTAAGCCTAGGCCTAAGCCCAAGCCTAAGCCCAAGCCTAAGCCCAAGCCTAAGCCCAAGCCTAAGCCCAAGCCTAAGCCCAAGCCTAAGCCCAAGCCCAAGCCTAGTCCTAAGCCTAAGCCTAAGCCTATACGACCCAGTTGGGACCACCAAATCTCTGAGTGCAAAAACCCTGAAGCGAGACCAAGTGCAAAATGAATTGCGGGTTACCCGGGGGACCCGCGTGGTGGTTGTGTAAACTGCCGGGAATTGGGGGATGGATGATGTCATTTGGTGCCCGGCATTCATAGGTGTCACCCGGAATCTTGCGCGATTTTTGCTAAAATCGTTAGGAAAGTCAGAAATTCTAGGAGGCCACTTCGAACCCAGATTTTTCGCGACTTTTCTCCGGACCTTACATTTTAATTTGCACAATTTTTCAAATTTTGTACCTTAAAAATGTATATGATTATATTGCTCTTTTTGCTGGAAAAAATAATCTATTTAAGTGGTATTTTTCAGCCAAAACTCTAGCCATAAAAATGTCGGCCAACCTCGCCCCGCCAAACGTCGTCGTCAACAGCCCGAGGCCGAAAAATGTCAATGATAAGCGTGAGTTTTGTCGTTTTTAAAGGGACAGTGAAGTCAGGGAAATATTACTCAAGGATAGTAAGATAGACTTGAACTTAAAAATCTACAAAAACGCCCGATTTTCAGTCTCGGTGGGCTCCAAGTTGGACGGCAAGATCCCGATCTACATCCGGCCGTATTCGCCTAGTGAGTTTTTGAGCGAAAGAGAGAGAGAGAGAGAGAGAGAGAGAGAGAGAGAGAGAGAGAGAGAGAGAGAGAGAGCTAAAGAAAGCTCGCAGACATTTCTAAGCTTCAAGACATTTTTAAAATTGTACTAAATAGGTTAGAAAACTTGAGAATCGACCCATTACGTCGACTAGGTCTAGACAACCACTAAAAACCCCAAAATACGCGCGATCAATCCTTAGTGAATTTTTCTTCAACACCGAGCTCGAAATGACGCCAGTGACAAAATAAAGTGTCTTTTGTCGCGTCGCGTAGCTGTCCAGACCTAGTCGAGGGAAGGGGTCGATTTGGCGCTTCCTGGCCCCTTTAAAATTATTTTTATAATAAGGAACTATCGCTGTTTTCAGATCAATCTTGCGGCGCCGAGCTGCGACGGACCCCCTCGCCAAAGCCCGACCAGAAGAAGAATACCAAGTGACACCATATTGCTCGAAAAATTCGAATTTGACATTCCCAAATTTTCAACGTTTTTAGCGACAATTTCCCCCTACTGTAATTACAGTCATTTTGTGCGCCCGGGTCCCCAGCCTATACCGATATATTTCTAAACAGTGAGCGCTACGCTCGACACCTGATGACGGAAGCTTTATGTGTGCATTTTATTCGCGTTGCTCTGTGTTCTGGATGGAACGAATAAAGATGATTTTGGAAGAGGAGGTGTTTTTGTGAAAAAGGCGCATGTAAAAGAGAGAGAGAGGGGAGAGAGAGAGAGAGAGTGAGGGAGGGAGAGAGGAGAGAGTGAGAGATAGAGGGAGATGTGGGAGAGAGAGTGATAGATAGATAGGAGAGATACAGGAAGAGAGCGGAAGAGAGAGCGATGGAGGGAGAGAGAGAGAGGTCGAGAGAGAGCGAGAGAGAGAGGGATATAGGGGCAGAGAGAGCGGCACTTTCAAACCTGAGAATTCACAATACCCATTGATTTTCGGCATCTTCAAGCATTAGTGTGGCTTAAACCGATTTGACAGCATCAATGAGGAACCTCTGCTCGTAGAACCAGCATCTGCCGGGCGGCAAAGTCGATTGATTCTGCTTATCAAGCCGAACCCAGCGCCTTTCTAGGCCACGAACGGGCATCTGCTTCAATGGCTTTGAAAATAATCAGAATAATTTTAGCATTCCATTCATTGCATTTTCCGTTTCCATAACTTTCTCTTTCCTTTTTGAGTTCGTTGCTACGCTTGCTAGACCGATGTAAGCCCAAACCTAGGCCAAGCCTATGCCCAAGCCTATGCCCAAGCCTATGCCCAAGCCTATGCCCAGCCTATGCTCAAGCCTAAGCCGAAGACTAAGCCCAAGCATAGGCCCAAACCTAAGCCCAAGCCTAAGCCCAAGCCTAGTCCCAAGCCCATAGCCCGAGCCAAGTCTAACTTCCTAATTCCAGATGCCCTCCTACATCCTCGCCAGCCTCTCGTGCCCGAAATGCCGTCACCCATTTGACAAAGAAGCCTCGGAGCCCCGAGTTCCGACAATGTACGCCCCGTCCCGCGCCCATCTGCCGTACTGTATGGCGTGCGCTCAGGTGGCCACCAAGAAACGGGTCAGGGTGGCGGTGTACGTCTTCAGTTTGCTGCGATTGGAGGGGATAGAGAAGACTGGGGGTGGGTTGGACTCTCTCTCTCTCTCTCTCTCCCTCTCTCTCCCGCTCTCGCTCTATCTCTCTCTCTCTCTCGCTCTCTCTCTCTTTCTCTCTCTCTCTATCTCTCTCTCTCTCTCTCTCTCTCTCTCTCTCTCTCTCTCTTTCTCTCTCAATTGCATAGCTACCAATTCCAGCCGGATACGTATGCACGCAAAAGCCCAAACTGCCCACGTGGAATTGTACGATTTGTGCGGAAAACCGGGATACAGCCGGAGTGACACCGTCGATTCGGGAAGACGGCCAGGCTTACTGTAGAGACTGCCGACTGAAGGTGCTCGCCAAGCTCAGGATCCCGATCATTGAGAAACGGTAAGTCTTCCCCAAATTATCTCTGCTAGCCTGCCCCTCCCATTCCCAAATGATCTCTGCTAGCCTGCCCCTTCCATTCCCAAATGATCTCTGCTAGCCTGCCCCTTCCATTCCCAAATGATCTCTGCTAGCCTGCCCCTTCCATTCCCAAATGATCTCTGCTAGCCTGCCCCTTCCATTCCCAAATGATCTCTGCTAGCCTGCCCCTTCCATTCCCAAATGATCTCTGCTAGCCTGCCCCTTCCATTCCCAAATGATCTCTGCTAGCCTGCCCCTTCCATTCCCAAATGATCTCTGCTAGCCTGCCCCTTCCATTCCCAAATGATCTCTGCTAGCCTGCCCTATCCATTCCCAAATGATCTCTGCTAGCCTGCCCCTTCCATTCCCAAATGATCTCTGCTAGCCTGCCCTATCCATTCCCAAATGATCTCTGCTAGCCTGCCTCAAGCTCTCAATTTCCGACTTCTAAACCAGCTATTTCTTACAGGCACGACAAGCCGTTCCGCAACATTTATGACGAGTTTGTGGAGGAGATCTGGCGCCGCTTTGAGCTGAACGCAGTCGAGGTGGCTGAAGAAGCCAAGTCCGAAGCCGTCACCGACAAGGAGCTAGAGGCTCTCTTCGAGCCGGTGCCGGATCCCGTCCAAAATGAGCTAAGCGTCGCCGAGCTAGAGCATGTCATCGACGCCCCAGGCTCAGAAATCCCAAACAAGATTGCGACGACGACACCAAGCAGTACGCCCGCGAGAAAAGTGGAACGCCAGGTTAGTTAGGATAAGGAATCCAAATTTTCCTAAATAATGACGCTAACTTGCCTCTTTCTACTTTTTTGGTTACGTTTTTGGGTTTTTACGTAGATTTTCCCAAATAACCTCTGCTAGCCGCCATCGCAAATTCCACAAAGAGCCTCTGCTAGCGCGCCAAACCCCCATTTTCCAGGCAACCCCTTCTGAGGACTCGATGTGCAGTGACTGCTTGCTGACCACCTCCATCGAGGCGATGTTCATCTGCCAGCCATGCGCCAAGCCGACTTGCTCAGGGTGTCGTGAGCAACACCACACGGAGCACCAGAATGTCGTAGCGCTCATGGAGGTGGAGCTGGTCGGTCATTCTCTAAAACACGCTCCCTCCCTCTCTCTCTCCCCCTCTCTCCCTCGTTCTCTCTCCCTCTCTCTCTCTCTCTCTCTCTCTCTCTCGACCTCTCTCTCTCTCTCTCTCTCTCTCTCTTTCTCTGCGCGCCCTCTAAAATCTCAAAAATGACAATTTCAGATGCGCATCAAAGCGATGAAGACGCTAGAAGTCACCTCAACTTTCCAAGGCCTCACCCGACGCATTAATGACGTACATCTCGACCTCGTCCTAACGACTAGCGGCCTCTGCGATCGTGTTCAGCGAAAAGTAGCCGTCCTCGGCCGCCAGACCGACTACCGTACCGCCAAGAAAATGGCCGAGGAGCTGGACGACCACGCGACAAAGTTCAAAACGGATTGCGACAACTTTTTGGGCGTCGCTGACGGGTTTTCCGGCGAGCTGAAGACGTTGCAGGACGCCGTGGAGCCGCAGCTACAATTCACGCCTATTGACACGGCGATTCTGGCGGAATCTGGCCAGCTGGACCCGTTTTCCATGTTTTAGAATTTTGTGCCGATGTTTTTAGAATAAATAGTCTTCTGGAAATGTTGTAAATGCAAAATACAGGCTACAAACTACACCAAAATGCGTTTAGAAACCTAAACCTGAACACTTTCAATATTGTCGTTTTTTTCATTTTGGAGGTGAAAATGGAGCTAAACCGTCAAAAATTATTTTCCGGGGAGCTGAACTGAACTGAACCACAGCTACATTTGACGTCTCTTGACACGGACATTCTGAGAGAATCTGGTCAGCTGGGCCCGTTTTGCTCCAGATATTTGCGGTTCAAAACTACAAAAATGAAATTTTGAAGTGAATTAATTTTGAGAAAAATATTTTTTAAAAAGCATAATTTTCATCGCTAAAATAAAATATTTTGGACCTAACTTTGCTAATTAATTCATAGCTTTGTACATAGGCGCACCGCGTAGTCGCCTCCTAATAAATATTTATCTTCTTCTGAGCCTTCTTAATAGACTGTTCTTTTTCGCAAAAAAAATTAAAGAGAGAAAAACATGTGACAATTTGGATATGAAACGGGGGTCGATCGGACAAAACGAGAGAGAGAGAGGCAGAGATAGCAAAAACGACCATATTAAGGGACAATTTGGGTGGTGGGGGGGGAAGGCGCATGCATGATATTGTACCTGTACACGACGTGACACACACACTCGGGCGGGTAAGACACTTTTTTGGGCGGAAATTCGCATTTTTTCAGAAAATTAAAAATGTAAAAAAATTGCAAAAACTAGGGATTGAGCCGGGAGAGATTGGCGACGAATTAATCGGAGACGGGGAATTTGAGAAAAAGCTCAAAACTCGAATTTCATCATATAGCACAAAATTGCCTTGAAAATTGCGTTTCAGGGTTTCGGAGCGATTGGAGCGCGTTTTTTAAGGGTTTCTAGGACAGCCAAAAATTTCTTTTTGCCAAACTTCCAAGAAAAAATTTTTTTAAAAGAATTTTAATTTCTAGCCTTTTAAATTTTTGAGAAAGAGCTTAGCCTCAAAAATTTTTCCCTTTTTTAGCTAGTACAGGCTTACTTTCAGAACGTCGAAAATCATAATATCGAAATTCCGGGAATGCCGAAAATCATAATATCGAAATACCGGAATGCCGAAAATCAAAATGGCGAAATTTCAGAATGCCGAAATTCAGAATCTCCGAATTCAGAAGAAAATCTCCGGAAAAACGCGGAATTCTACGGAAAAATTCGGCATCTTGAAATTTCGAAATTCTGAAACTTCGACATTATAAATGCCGACATTACAATACGAGCTCCATCTTCAAAATCCGCCTCCTATTAGTGCGCGTGGGGAACCAGGGCTCTGGGATTGCAAAGTACAGAGTACAACAACGTACAAAGACCAGGAAAAGTAAGGGGTGGGGGCTGCAAAATGAGCAATATTAGAAAGAGGTCTAAAAAACGGGCGAATCTATGTAAATGTCGAGGTGCTTGCATGGGGGATATGGCCTAGAAAACGAGGAAAACCGGGATTTTTCGGGATGTTTCAGCGGGCGGCAGGCGGCTCAGCTCTTGGCCACCTCGAATCGCGGCAGGAACAGCCCGAATTTGTGCTCGATGCCGGAGAACGTCGCACCGGCCAACTGAAAAATTATTGTAAAAAATACAAAACCAATTTCACAATTTAAAGAGACGCGCAAGGCACGCGGCTAGGTATTTTTAGCAGGGGAAATTATTTTTTTTGTCTATTCGGTCCCCATCCATAATAGATAAATGTTTATAGTGTTTCTGGTAGTTTTTGATCGCTAGAAAGTTCTAACTATCTTTAAATTTTGTAAATTCGAAAATTGTGTTTTTTTACCATTTTAAAACATTTTTTACCCAAAAAGCAAAAAAAATGTTTTATGAACCTTTTATATCTAAAAACTTTTTGAACAGCTAGAAAAATCGCTTATACTTTGTTTTAGGAGTGTAAGGGATCACAGGGGTAAATCTCCCCCCCCCCCCCCCCCCCGCTGACAGACCAGTACCTCTATAATTTACAATCTATCAAAAAGAGACGAGGAAGGTAGGATTGTCGATTTAAGACACATTTTGCTAAGCCCGCTACATGTCGCAACGCTAGGCGCCCGCCGCCTAGCGTTGCGACATGGAGCGACACTTTCGCACCACGAGCGTGACAAGATCTAACCGGAAATAATAACAAAAGAATGCCATTTTCATCCCATTAAAGGTACTAGCAATTCAAAAAGCCGCTCACTCTGTAGCCGCCAATGTGGTCGGGGTTCTGCGAGACGTCGTCGGCCAACGACTTCTGGATGGCGCTCTAAAATGGGAAAATAGAGTATAGCCACAATTTCAGTTAAAAACAAATTTCATTGATTAAAAAAAGTTTCAGAAATTTCAAAAATTCTTCTAAAAATCACCTCTGATCCAGTGGGCCTGTGCCCTCCGAAATCGATGTAGAACAACCGCTGCAGCACCTCGTAGGCGAGCAGGGTGACGGCGAATTGCGGGGACGAGCGGCAGACCTAGAAATAGTTGAAAAACTGGTAAAAAAGTTATTATCATTAAAAACTAAAAATAGCTTGAAGAAAAAATGAATTCATAAAGATTTTAAAAATTTAAAAACTTACCCGAGCCGCCGTTCCTTTCCAGAACGCCGCTGGGCCTTCTTCTTTCATGATCTTGCGGGCGCAATCTAGAAAATAGGTAAAAATTCAACGGTGATTTTGACGAGAGAGAGAGAGAGCGAGAGAGAAAGAGAGAGAGAGAGAGAGAGAGAGAGACCGAGCGAGAGAAATCGAAAACCCACCAATCACTCCATTGTACGTCGTCTGACCGGCGCGGGCGGCCACCTGCAGCCGCGTCTTGATGACGTCGGCCGGGGTGACGAGACCGGCGGCGGGGACACCGGCGATGAACGCGGAGCAGAACAACGAGCCCGGGCTGTTGATGCCCTAAAATTAAAATAAAAATTAAAGTTAAAGTAAAACCCACATCCTGATCGGCCGTCGCCAACTTGGCATGCGCGTACGCCGGGAAGTAGATGGCCGAGAAGGGAACGTCTCTGAAATGGAAAAATAGCGGGAGAGAGAGAGATAGCGAGAAATAGCGAGAGAGAGCGAGAGAGCGAGAGAAAAAACTGGACTCGACTTACCTCATGAAACAAGCTCGTGCTCCCCGGTACAACCCGAGGAAACCGAGTTCGCGCAGAATCGTGAAGACACCAACCTCAAAAAAAAACATTAAGGTTCTAAATTAGGTAAATTACCCTATTCCCGGGAGTCTGAATCTCGCCGGCCACTTGTAGACGAATTTTGACAATTTCCAACGGATTCGTGAAGACGACCTAAAACACAAAAATTCGAAAAATACTAAAACGTGAAAATTAGTGCATTTTTGAACCAATCAAACTTCTTTTAATCCAATTTCTTGATTCTTTTCCTGCGAAATGTTTTCAACTAGACATTTTTAAATAATTTTTAAAATAAACTTGGGAAGCTAGTACTAAACTCAAACAAAACTAAAAAAGTCACTAAAAGCAAAAGTAAATAAGTTAAAAAAGCCATAGATAAACAAAAACTAAATAAAATAACCAAAATACTACCGTAATACTACCGTAACCAATATGATAATAACTCAAAAATTTACCTGAGAAGCTCCACCGCACGCGCCGGCAATAATCTCGCCGTAGAGCGGAATCTTTCCCGATTCGGTGAACTTGTCGCGCATGAAGTCGTTCATCGTCAGCTTGATGGCCTTCTCCGGTGCGACGCCGACAATCTGGGGCAATAGGCCGCGGTAGAGGCCGACGAGGCCCTCGAATTTGACGACCTTCTTGAAGCAGTCCAGGCTGTTCTTGTACATCACCTGCAAAGGGGGATTAGAGTTTCATTAGATTGCTTTTGTGTGGGCAATGAGCAAGGAGTTCGAGAAGTCTTCGAAGTCTCACTCTCTCTCTCTCTCTCTCTCTCTCTCTCTCTCTCTCTCTCGCTCTCTCTCTCTCTCTCTCTCTCTCTCTCTCGCTCTCTTCGCCAAAACCGTACCTCTCCGACAAACGAGCCCGTTCGCTGGTTTTGCATCCTCGTCTTGACCAGATCAATGGGGTAGACGGCCGTGGCTCCGCACGCACCGGCAATTGAGCCCATCAGGAAACGGTACGCCGATTCGAGCACCTAAAATATTGATTGTGGTGGACGCCATTTACGAAAATCGTGGTTTGTAAAATAATTTTTCGAAAATCCTAATTTGCCAAAATTTTGCATTGCGCCGATTTTACAAAATTAAGATTTACGAAAAATGAATTTAGAAACAAGACTTTTCAAAATTTCGGAAATTTATACAGGAAATATTATATGCAGCTAGGCTCCAAACTACCTACCGCGGTGCCGATTCCTCGCTCGTCCTTGCTGTCGACGGCCTTGATGTTCACCAGCCGCTCCACCTGGGAGTGACGCTTCAGCCGCTCGGGGTCGATGCGTTCTAAAATTCATTATAAATAAAATCTTGAAGAGAGATAATTTTCCGAAACCCTCCGAATGACGTTACTCAAGCGGAACTTTAGCCCAAAAAACTAAACACCGACCAATATCAGCCAGGGACAGCGTCTTCTTGCCGGGGTGCGCCAGCTCGGACAGGTGGAAGAGGATCTCGACCTGAAAAGATGAATTTTTTAGCATAAGAAGTTTTTTTTGAAACGCCCGGGGAGCGCGAGAATCGACCCTTTAAATGTCTCGACAGCTATGCGGCACGCCAAAGCATGAATAAATCTAATTTTTACCGCCAACACTCATTCGACATCTTCCGTAGCTGTCGAGACCTCGTCGATGAAAGCAGTCGATTCGCGCACTTGCCGGTCCCTTTAAAATACGAAAACAAACCTCGTAAGGAGTGATTTGCGCGTAGCTCTGCGTCGACAGCAAGAACTCCTCCTTCGACATCTCCAGCTCGATGTTGCCGCGCGCGTGGGAGATGTACCTAAATCCCAAAATTTAGTAACGTTCCGCACGTCCGTTCCTGACGCTGAAGAAAAAAAACACCAAAAATCTCGCAAGATCAGGAAACTCACACTCGCTTGATGAGCTCCATCTTGGCGAGCAGGCTGTTGAAGGCGGCATAGTAGGGGAACGAGACCTAAAACCGATGAAATACAGTAGGAAGCGGACGCGATGCAACAAATGACGCTATCCAGCCGACAGTAGGCTAAATTCTATGCAACAAAGGTTTAAAAGCTAAAACACAAGGTCAGGCTTTTTGGAACCGCGACAAATTAAAGAAAAGGGCGCTGGAAATCCCTCAAAACGATTAAATATTGGTTTGTTTCAATTATTAGTTTTTGTTTAAAACTACTAAATTTAAATAAACATGGATTAAAAGGGTTGCGAAGTCAAGAATCGCCGAATTTTGGGCAAATAATGGCTTCTGAATCCGGATAAGTGAGTTCTACTTGTAAATAAAAGCAAAGAAAAATACTTGACGAATTTCTGGAAAACCTTGACTTCGGAATACTCTAAAATTAAAATAGAGGCTTGGAAAGCTACAGAAAATTCGAGAGGAAGCGTTACAAAACTAAACTTGCGACGCCTCCACTACACACCCCTGGACGGTAGCTGTCGATAGGTGTGGAAAGCCGGGTGGGGGGAGGTGGACAGAGCGACAGACAGGGCTAACGTAAGCTATATAGGCTTTTGGTCATTGTTACCCACGCGTCGACCGGCCACGCCGAATTCAAACTGGAATGGGCATGCGGGTTTTGGAAAGAATGGGAACGATGAGTGGAACAATAAAAAAAATAGTTTTTAATGGAATTTGGCGAGTTTTTCGATGAGTATAAACATCCACCTTAATTCACGTTCAAAAACGATAAAAAGGCACAGCAAATTTTCCGAAATATGCTAAGTGCTAAGGAAAAATTTGGATAAAAATCATACAATAAATATATAAATAAAAATGGATTTAGATAATTTTATAAATTTAATTTTACGTATTCTACCTTGTAAATTAGCCTATATTTAGTTTAGTTCAGTACATTATACGTTACAGATTTTTACTAAAAACCCCAACGAACATTTTCGATGATTTTCGTTATTAAAATCGGCCAATCAATTTCAACAAATATTTTAATTAGGAACATGTCGAAAAACAAGCAAAAATCATGCAGAAAGAATGTAGAAAATCCAAAATTTATATTTAAAAAAATCGAGCTTCTTCCCATACCTTGTGCCCGACAGCTCCCCCGCCGGAAACGGCGATCAGGTTGTTGCGCACGAAATCGGTGAGCAAATGGTTCTTGACGGTGGTCATAATGTGCTGGAAATCGATGGACGAGATCGTGCCGTCGCCCTTCACGTCAAACCTGAAAACGGGGGAAACTAGCGGGAATTATTTGCGGAATTTCCAGCTGCCTAGGCATTTGAAAAACGGGGAGGCTAGCAGAGGTTATTTGCGGAATTTCCAGTTGCCTAGGCATTTGAAAAACGGGGAGGCTAGCAGAGGTTATTTGCGGAATTTCCAGTTGCCTAGGCATTTGAAAAACGGGGAGGCTAGCAGAGGTTATTTGCGGAATTTCCAGCTGCCTAGGCATTCGAAAAACGGGGGAAACTAGCAGGAATTATTTGCGGAATTCTGAACAGCCTAGGCATTCGAAACCTGGGGTATCTAGCATAGGTTATTTGCGGAATTTCCAGCTGCCTAGGCATTCGAAAAACGGGGGAGGCTAGCAGAGCTTATTTGCAGAATTTTCAGTTTCTATAGAGTGACAAAATGCGGTAACTAGCAGGGAGGATTGGAGGAATTCTCAGCTTTCCAGAGATTCGCAAAATACCGAACGCAAAATGGGAATTTTTTTGAAAGTTTCTAATGCCACCAAGACCCACGTTTTAAAAGCCTGCACTCCCTGCTCCTCGTAGAAGTCGTGGAGCAGCTGCGTGAAGGCGTAGTAGCTGATCGTCCGCTGCTTGTTCCTGAAAAACAACAAAAATTTCCTTGCTTTTATAAAAAAAATACCCACCTCCCAAAGTACTTCTTGATGAACTCGGAGTCGAAGTCAAAGTCCATGTCGTGGAGGGGCATCGTGTGGCTAAAGAAAACTACCGTTTCTAAGCTGAAAATTACCAAATTACGGCCTTGAACTCGTCGAACGAGATCGAATCCGACGAGTTGCGGTCGAACAGCTCGAAGGCGGTCAGGTAAAGGGCGTCAGGGCTGCAAAAAAATGCTTAGAAGTGTAAAAAAAATTGAAAGTCGCTAAAATCCATTGTTTCGAGCATTAAAAACTCCACGAAAAAGGTTTTGAAACCGCACTCGCAAAAACAGTTCAGAAAATCGCCAAAGTCGATTCACTTATCTAAAAAAACCTCAAAAAGTATTTTTCGACGGGTAAAACGGATTAGAAAATAGCAAAAGTCGCAAAAATCGAATCTGTCATCTCAAAAAAAAACTTCGCAAAACGGTTTTAGAATTGAAAAAGGCTTCGATTCGGCCAAAAACGGCAAAAATGGTCTCACTGAAGTTATGAAACTTTGCGAACCCGTTTCTGAAGCGTAAAACGTGCTAAACCCCGCAGTATTCAATAAAGTACACTAATTTCGGCTTCAAAACTCTGGAGAATATTTTTATAAGTGTAAAAAGTCTTAAAAACTGCCGGAAATCGATATTTAAACTGGAGATAGAGATTTTTGGCTCCAAAAACATTTCACAAACCTGCACAAAATGGCCTCGAACGCGCAGAATTCCTCAAAGGAAATATCCCCGTCTTTCGTCGTGTCGGCGGCCGAGGCGAGCAGTCGAACCGTTTCCTTGTTGTAATTCCCGTCCGTGTACAGCCCGAGGAACCTGAAAAATCTCTGTAAAAAAGTTAAAATCGGTGGTTAGGGGAAATGCGATCAAACGCACCTCCTGATGAAGTCCTCCGACGTCATGTACTTTTTGCCCTGCTTCTCCTGGCTGGCGTACTTTTCGAAGATTGGCCTGAAAACATCTAAAATTGAAGGGAATTTCGATGTAAAATAAAATTATACCCTACTATATATAAAAAAATAGTGTCTGTGTGTGTGTGTGTGCCACTTTGCATCCACTTCCGTATCGTTGTTCCAGTCGTATCTCCATAGGGGAAGAAGTTAGGGGTGGGTACGATACGTCATTATGTGCGTAATGGTCTAGGGATGACTGCCCACATATCAGACTTATAAAAATCAGCCATTTTCGATGTTAAATTTAAGTTTTTGTAAAACCCTCTTCGCTAGGAAAAATTAGCATTGACCGGAAGTAGGAAGTCGCCTATATAAAGGGTCACAAGCAAATCATTTTCGTTTTTTGGTCATCTGAATTCAGCGCAATTATGAACACATGCGGTCCGTAGAACAGCATGCGGTCCAAGACGGGACCAGGGTTGAAAAGTCGCGAAGCGGCTTTTCAACCCTGGTTTTCACTAAAAAAGCTATCTAAAAATGCTCAAACTTTTGCTAAAAATCGAAACCTTGGTAAAAACGGGCTTTGTTGGTCGAAAAATCTAATTTTTTGTGCTTTTTAATAATATTTTGGAAAGTTTTGACGTTTAGGAAATGCAAAAATAGTTTCGAAATACTTCCCTTATTTACATTAGAAAAATTGGATCATTAGAAAAAGTTGCCCATTCACCTCAAATGGTCGGGGTTGGCGCGCGGGATGTAGCCACGGTTGGCGAGCGCCATCTCCGCGTTGCAACTCGCAAATCGCATCCCGGGCACGTAGGAGAACTAAAGCACAAAATTCATAAAATTCTTTTACAGCACTAACCAAATCATTTGACGACATTGCGGGGCGGGTGGCCGCGCGGCGGCGCTCGGATGTCAAGACATGGTCGAGCGATGTAGCCATTCAATTCGGCGCCTGGAAATGTGTATTGATGTGTATTTTTATAGATTTTTATAGCCGTATCATCGATTTAAACATTAAAAAGTGTATAACGACGATTTTTCAAAGCGCCTGAAATAACGAAAGGTCTGAAAACTTTGAAAATTCGTAGTTTACAGTTTTTAGAGCTATTTACGCGCGCTAAACATATCATCACCTATTTAAAACGACTTCTTGAAGCAAATGAACGTAATTCGAAAAACCAATTTATAAAAAAAGCGTTTTAAAGCATTGGCTAGTTTTCAGAACTTCATGATGAAACTAAATATCGAAAATGCACTTTCAAATAGTTTCGTTAAACGAAATCACGACTTTAGGTAAAGAATTTGATGACAAAAACAGCAAAACGAAGAATAAAAAAACGCTAGATCAATAATTTTCAGGGAAAAATGTTTTTTTGAGGGAAAATAAAAACCCAAATCGCCGCGCCAAAACCCCCGGACAAAAAGTTGTTGTTATTTTGCTCGTGTCCCCCAAAAACACTCACAAATGCAATCCGTGGCGGGGGCAAGTTTTGTCGATCGTGTCGTTTCGTTGAGGCGAGATGTGGGGCCTGTGATAAAGGGGGATGATATAGAGCAATTATATCACGGAAAGAACGCCGGCGGGAAAACAACCGAAAAACACCAAATCGATCGATCGCGGATTGGGTGCCCGGGTGAGAGCGTGAGACTTGTCTGCCGGTCAAAATGTTCATTTGTTTTCAGGGGAGAGAAGGAACAAGAAAAAGCAGGAGATGGGCCCGGGGTTGAGGGGCCAACAGCGGGACTTGACGCTTTTCGGCACAAGGGCGGAGCAAGGGGCCAAAGGCCTTGGTGTTGAAGCTTGCAGAAAAATAGGTTGAAAAATTGGCCACTGGTGACGGAGAAAGGTAGAGGAAATCCTCAAAGCTGCTTTAAAACGCTGCGGAAAAGAATTAGAACAAAAACAAAAATATAAATTGGACTAGAAATAGCTCTAAAGACAGCATTCCTCAAATAAAATAAGTAAGGTTCCAAAGACTTAAATTATAAAGTTAGATATGTATCAAAATAGATTTTACCAAATAGCTAGGCCTGAAAATATCACAGATTTCAAAAACCAGGCAAAAAGCGTCATTTGATCGCGAATAAGTAACCTATAAAGAACGAGATATGAGTAGAAAAATTGAAATGCTATTCTAAAGCGTGCAGAACTTTATAAGCATTAAATTGAAGCTTTAATCGACATAATACGGTTTTAAAAGGTATAATTTCAAAGTTTTCACAACAAAAATAACTGATTCGATTACGCTCTCCAATTGCCCCGCCTTCGAACGGGCAACTGTACTGTGGTGTCAGCGGACTCTGGCCTTTCCAAGCTTCTCCACCATTTGTCGCATCAAAATCCAAAGTTTCGGGTGAAATTTTACGGGGTTTTTTTTTGCAGAAAAAGGAAGCGGGCTGTGCTCTAGCGTATTTTGGCTATCAGCCCTCGCCCGGGGTGTAGAGGGGGCCGGAGAGCGGGAGAGGCCAAAACAACGTGTCCACCCACGGGCATTTATCGAGAAGTGGAAATGGCGACAACGGCTACGGCGGCACAAATTCGATCATTATCAGGGCGGGTGATTCCGGCGGGAAGGACAAAGCCCCTTTTTTATCGGGCTGATGACCAGACGTTGATAGGTCTTTTGGTAAAAAATTAACTAATCATAGCTAAAATAGAGTTAAACTTAAGAAGTAAGATTTTAGAGTCTCTTAAAATGTCACAACTATCAAAATTCGTATCGGATTTTTTAAAAATAGGACCTTGAAAGCTTTTTAAAGTTACAAGAAGGATTTAGTAGATTTTTCGTTAAAAAAATTGACGAAATATAGCTGAAACCGATTTAGACTTATGAATTAAGCTTTTGAAACCTCAAAAACGATCAGAATTTCGGGGGAAATTTTACTGAACATTTTTGTACTTTTTTAAAGTTGCAAAAAGCTTTTTAGGGCACTTTTTCGCTCAAAAATCGACTAAATATAGTTAGAAAAATTTTTGTAAGGGGCAAGAATTCAGGAAAACAATAAAATTAGTTAAATTTTGATATGATTACCCGGTTATCGTTAAAAACCTGGGTGGCCGGGGCAGTTTAGTGGGCCAGGAAGGGGAAGGGACACGCAACTGCTCAGGGGATAGATGCTTGAAATTGAGGAGGGCGGAGAGATGAAAAAAACGGCTGGCAGCACACAGCCGAGCCTCGATGAGGATGGAAAAGAGTGGGAAAAACGAGGGTTGGTTAGCTGGTGAGGATGAGGGGCGAGTCAGGGCAGTTGGCGAGTCGCGACGAGGCGACCCCCCGGGAAAGAACCGGCGATGGAAAAACGGCAGTAGGAAGGTCGGGGGAGAGGAGTGAACACAAGTTTGCTCATGTGGCGAGCACGTGTTGCCGGGGCTGCAAGTTGGAAAACCGTTGTGTTTCCGGGTTTCAACTCTAAAGGGACTGGGAAGTTTGGGAAGCAACCCCTGCCTTCGTCTAGGTCTAGACCGCCGCGCGACATTCCAAAAACGTCTTTGAAGGAAGCTTTTTAAGCCAATAATCTACCAGTTTGCCCCGAGAGTTTAAAGACACAATTTCCAGAATCAACCCCGCCCATCTCGACTGGGTTTAGACGGCTGCGCGACGCACCAAAAGTGAAAACACTATGAAATCTATGAAAAATTCGTTTTAGCCAAGCAATTGAATGTTTTCGAATAATTTATGGAAAAATCCTTTAGTCCTATCGTCTTATGCCCCAAAAGGGAAAAAACCACATCTATAAAAAAGTCGTTTTGGCCAAGAAATACCAGTTTTCGAGTGGCCTTTAAAGTGACGGGGAAGTGAGAGAATCGCCTTTTCAGCCGGCTAGGTCTCGACAGCTACGGGATAGGCCATAGCACGCCGATTCGAAAGTCGCTTACGTTCAACATTCTACAAGCGGGCAGAAATCCTTGCGGACGCTTGAAGGAAAAAAATTAAAATCCAGGTCTGCTTTAATCTACTTTAATTTAATTAATTAGAGATCCATTGAGGGAATCGAAACTCTCTGGCAAGCTAGCAGAGATCATTTTCGGAAATGGAAACCCACGTCGAGCTAGCATTTTTCTTTGGCACGATGACACGGCATGTCAATTTCTAAACCGCGAAAAACAGCTCCACCAATTTAGCATTTTCCAGATCTCCAATTCCACCGGATTCCAAATTCCGTATGAAATCCGGCGAACGGTTCCGAACAACACTCAACCCCCGTATTGTCTCGATTTCTTTCGAAATCCCGGGTATGCAAATAGAGGATCTTATTCCCCGGATTTGCATATGCTCCCGATGAACAAAAGGGTACAAAAGGGGACGAGCTTTCAAGTGGTGCCGGAAGGAACGGGGAATGGAGATGAATTCTAGTATTTTGTCGGTCCCCAGAATTTCAAGGCCGCGCTGGCGTTCTCTCTCTCTCTCTCCCTCGCTCTCTCTCTCGCTCTCTCTCTCTCTCTCTCTCTCTCTCTCTCTCTCTCTTTAGGGTAAGCTACTCGAGTAGTCCTAGGTTATGCAAATACAAATAGATAGGTGAGGGGCAGTGGGTAATAAGAGCAAACAGTCCATAAATCCTTTGAGAACCAATTCCGAGCCGCAGTTTTGGAGCCGCAACTTTCCGGAAACTGTCCCTTTAAAAGTATGTTTCTAAGCTCTTTCCGCGCTCTCCC